GAGGGGGGGGGGAGGATTTAGGAATGAGCTAAATGAAATCGCCACTAAATCGGGGCTAATTATTTGGCAGTAAATGCTGGTGGGATGTTGGGGACCTCTGGGTGGAGGCGCGCGCGCTCGTAAAATGGTTATACCCCCGCTATGGGCCCCCACACGCTCCGTGGGGCCCTGAATATCTCACTCGCCGATAGTAATCTCCATGGTTCTCCAATAAACTCGGCAAACTTATTGAGATGGAACTTTGACGATGGGGGGAAACTAAAATGCTACTGACGATTAATTCTCGCGGTCTCTTCGTGTTACTCCGGGGTACCGCCAATATTCCATTAGGCTCACACTAACTGTCAATTTATTTCCTATTTCTGCGTATCGCTCTTTCACTGTACAATTAAAAATTTGTCATTTAATTAGCCCTCGTTGTGTAGAAAAAAATTCCAACAGTCTGGGATTAATTGAATTTTTTTTATGCACGGGGGGTGAAGGGGGGGGGCGCTGTAATTATATTTTAGTAATAACTAATTGAAGTGATTTCACCACCTGACCTCGAGGCTGGACCCCCCCAGGACCAGTAGCAATAACTACGCAAAGTTTTGCGCAAAATATTGTGCCCCCCCGCGTGGGGGCCTTCTGTCCGCGGTTGTTTTTCAAATGATCCCAGCATCGAACGGTGTCACGTCGATGCGTTCTTTCATCACCGACGTGCCATGATTTATTTATGGCTTGTACGTTGTTGCCCCTGGTGGCAAAACGAAAATCAACAAGCCCTCACGGAGTTGTGTCCAGTAGTCGCCTCTGAGGTCCTCCGTCACACGGCGGGTGATCCTTTTCCATCACAGAGGGGAAACACCTTTTGGCCCCCTCACCATGAAAGAGTGACAATGGCATCGCCATGAGCGACCATAATCGGGGTGCGTGTCGATGCCCCAGGAGAAATATCCCCTGGAGGCATTTAAACAACTGATTTTTCCCTCTTCTCTCTTTTTAAGAGGCATTTTGGCACTCGTCGGGGGCGCCTCCCCCCCCGGAGTCAATGAAGACGTCAGCACCGAAACGATCCGACAAATCGAAGGTTAAGCCATTTATTTCGACAACTTGGAAATTTTTCCCTCTTTTTAATTCATCAAACCCCACAGTTTTGCACTCGAAATGATAACAAACGAGACTACTCCACCGAGACAAGTAAAACTGTCGTCCTGTCGTCCTGAATACTTTATACAAAAGGGGATTGACAACAGCAAACAGTTTAGTGTCCCGCACGTTTATTCTCATCGGAATACTAACCGTACTTTAAAACTTGTGCTCGTTTTATTTAGGGGCCCCCCTCTT